CGCTCTTCCATCTCTCTACTGAAGAACTGGTTGGATTCCCTAGTGCAGTGAGACACCTAAAAATATGCTCAACCACATACATGAACATCAGTAATCCAGTGTCAGCAGAACAAAGCCTGGAAACAAATTTTATTCACTGCAGTGGGACTCAGATGGTTTTGCTTAATTACAAAGAAACAGCAGTCCTTGGGAGATGGGCTTTATCCAAGCAATTCTGCAGGATAAGTAAGACACCATTTGGAACCACGGCACTTCCAAGCACCAGTGCCGGGAATCTACCTGTGACTAGTAAAAGTTAGAGACAAGGGTCCTACACAGATCCTACATGAAGATGGAAGAGCAAAACTGTCAAAGGTGGGAATTGTGAGAGGCCACTGTGTAGCAAGTCAAACAAAGCTTTGCTAATTCAAGCAAAAAGAGCTGCCAGATTTGAGTTATTCCTGAACTACCAAGGAACCTGTGGCAATCAAACGCCCTTCCTCTTTAGGAGGGGCAGGGGGTGGTGGTGGTGAAATCACATCAAAATTTTGTCAGATGAAAATGAACTCCCTTGACTTACCCTGGGATTCCGAATTTTACCTAGTGCTCTGTTGATCACTGGACAGGCACCAGAGTATCTGAACCCTTTAAGCAAATATACTCACCTCATGCAGATTTTCTTGGTCATTTACTAGTGAAAGCCACTCCAGTTTTAAATGCAAATGTCCGCTTGTTGTCTTACTTAAGGGAAACCACTAAATGGAGACAATAGCGTAACTTGAGAAATGTGAGGCAGAATAATTTTTATATATATGGTGCAGTCTCTGAGACTTACGTACAATAGACAATACGAATTCTACTTTAAGTGCCTCAGGTTGCATTTTTGACACTTCAATTATAGCAAGCCCATCTACTTAGAAACACAAGCCAGAAAAAATGAAAACAAGATACCCAGATACACGCAAACCACATGGGTATTTCCAGTGAGAAGTAGCACAAGACAGGCATCCTGGCATCGTTAGCAGAGTGTTGGGTTGTAGGGTCAACCACAATAAGACCAGATCATTTTTTCCCTCAGCGACCAGACTGCTTCACCAAACTTTATCTGTAGCCTTGTACAAAACATTCGGTACGTACAGGACACCAGATATACACACTAGATACTCCACCACTGCTGGCTCAGCAGAACCTCAGGGATGTTTGAAGTTGCCAGCTTGACTGTAAAAAGTATTGCAATGGCTACATCATGTTTTCTGAGCAAAGGTATTTTTTTCTTTTTGTGAAAACACCACAATGCAAGTGCACAAGGAGCTTTAAGCACACACAAACAATGCAGTAGCAGAGAGAGAGCACAAATGAGAGCACGCAAGCATACACCACCAACCACACTTGGAAACAAGCTGTGATCGTTACCTCATCAACAATTCTGTCATTCATTACATCCACTAGGCTTATAAGCAAGCTGAAAGATAAAAAGCAATCATTTCAGTGTATATTTAGGCATATAGCATACTGCTGTTGGAGAGGTAAGAAACCACCACCAAAAAAGCCCACGCTCAAATCTGTTGCAGAAGACAGCTTCTCCACATCACCTGCGTGTGTGTGTGCGTGCGTGCTGGAATGCATTCACACTCCTGCAGTCTCCCCCTTAAAACACTTTCAGAACAAAAATAAATTTGAAGCAAATCTCATGTAATGTAGTAACTATCTCTTCTGATGGCTTCCTAGCATTCCTTGCAGGAGTTTGGGACTGGTCTAAAGAACTACTTTGTTCAAAGTTAGTTGCACTAGGAACTTAGAACTTGGTACCAATATCCAGACAAGGGGAATAGCTTCCTTAATATTAAATCTCTGCTGTGAATAATCTGGGTGCCCTGTTGAAGAAGTTACTTGACTCCAAGCAAGGGTCATGCTAATTTACCTGCCCATAAAGTCATCTTTATCTGGATCTTCATCGTACAAGTCCACTTCTAAGTCCTGACCAGGCACTTCATGAACAACAAACTGGAAGAGAAAGAAGTATTGATTAAAAATAGAAAGCATTCACATAGGTTCATATAGGTTCAGGCTATGGACAAAACCATGTCTTCACAGCTGTATAACACAGTAAGGACACTCCCTGCTGTTCTGTGGCTGTCTAACAAACATGATGGATTACAGGTGAAGATATTTTAAAAGCAGTTTGCTTGGTTTTGAACTACAAGTTAAACCCCTCAAACTGGTATCCCTATGAAGCAGGGAAGAATCGATGCTAGATCAGACTACAGCTGCACTGCTGCACTGATTGATATTTAAAGCTGTACTTTGCGCCTCCTCCAAAAACCCACACATGTAAATCGGATCAACCTGAATGACATTTCAAGTTTGCAATATGAATTTGAACTTGTTTAAGGGACAGAAATGCCTTGATCAAGTAACAAGGAAGTCCACCTGCTCCAGTGCAGTCAGCTAAGAGAAGGTCCTCTAAGCACAAGGATGTAAACGGCTGTAAATCCTACAGATGGAAAGATCAAAAGATTCAGTACCTCAAACGTCTCATTCCAAATGGGATTAAGATCTCGGGAAACTGTCTTGCTGCGATACTGCACCGTGCCAACACGAAGAAGAGCATACGGGTCAGACTTCCCTCTGATTGCACCAAGGAAACTGTCTTTCTGGACAAGGTTTTCGGCTTCTAGCAGATGAACCCTTATTACTCCCTGAATAAAAGAAGATACAAAATTGGTCATGAAAGCATGATATTTGGACAATTATAATATGCTACCTCCTAAAGCTAGTTATTTCAGGCAGCAAGGGTGGTCACCATGACAGTTTTGCAAAGACATGCATTTTGATGCAGTATATTTCCAATTACAGCTGTATTAAAACCCTCTTTCCACCATTTACCTAGAGGAAAAAAGAACAACCCTTAACAGATACACAATCCAATCTAAATAACTGGGTAGGAAGTATTCTTCAATTTATTTTTTAATCAGAAACATACATATGCACAGAGGACTACAGCCACAGTCAAATCAAGTGTGAAGATCAATTCCCGCTGATTGAAGGAGGAACAAAACACCCATTGGCAGGTTCTTATTTTACTGTAGAGTGGCCATTCAACTTTAATTTTGTGATGCAAGCTTGCAGTAGGGAGCATCCCTTTGTGATTCATTTCTGTTCACCCTCATTAATGAGTGTATTAGGTATTTGATAAATGAAGGAGAGAGAAGATCTAGATATACATCAGGTATTCAGGAGATTGTTGTTGGGGTTTTTTTTTGTGATTTTTTTTCTGTAACAAAGAGACAGCATCCTCTCAGCTCCTTATTTATACCCCTTCACAGCATTAGTAAAAAAATTAAGTAGCCTGACACTTATTGCTCATGTATTTACTTTACCTAACCAAAGAACTGCAGAATTCTCAAATGAGACTGAAGGTTTAAATTGGCAAATGAGTTAAGTGTCTAAATAGACTTCTTATGCCACACATAGGGGGGTAAGAACACCCCCAGCTCCCTCGCCCCCAAACCATGAACTGTCTGACATTTGCTTTTATATTTCTGAAATATTACATACAGAAAGCCTACAATCCAGGTTGAAACAGCTGATGCAGGAACCTAAGACACTAAGCTTGCACGCACCCACATTGCAGCAAACACGCACTCAGGTAGATTAACACTCCCACTTTAAAAAACCAAACTCACATGTGGGATAGGGAACCTCAAGTGGGCGATGTTCACGTTCTTTTTCAGAGGCACTGTGATCCTGTTCGGCAAAACCAGCCGTGCAGCAATGAAGTCTTGAATGAGCGAGTCTGACACTACACTGCAGATGGAGAGAAGAGAAAAAAGCAACTTAAATCTCTACAATGCATCACAATTTCAGTTGGAATGAAAGAATGAGGCACAGTGAAAGAAACAAGGACTGCAAGATGAGTGATACTGCCTGCTTTCCCCCAAAGAGTTATCAACCACTGGAACAGGCTGCCCAGGGAAGTGGTTGAGTCCCCCGCGCCGGAGATGTGGGGCTTAGGGACATGGTTTAGTGGTGGACCAGCAGTCTTAAGTTTATGGTTGGAGCTGACCTTAAGGGTCTTTTCCAACACAGAAGGAAAGTCCTCTCCTACTCCAAATATGAAACCAGGAACCCAAAAGCCCTTGGTCAGGCTGTGAACTTTCCTGTCAAAAAAATCCCACAGGAAGGTCACAGAATTGTCCCTTCTCAGGGTACGGCCAACTAACACAGTTTGTACATGAGGACAGATGACTGTGTCCAGTTTCTTTGCTTTCTTAAGTACGAGCAATTCATTCTAAAGGGAGAGCTCTTGTTCAACCTGTACTTCAGCCTATTCACTGTCAGGTGTGTTTTGCTCCAGCTTTCATGTGCAGTGCTGATGGACAAGCAATGGTTTCTGTGTTTGAATCCCTGTGAGTGAACATTTAAGACACCAAATTTGCACTTAATTATAAGAGAGGCTGTAGGTTGGAACACCTACATACCTCCTCCCTGCAAGGATTAAGGAAATCATGTTAGAGAAAAACAGATTAATTCTTCTGATAAAAACTGGAGCTCTCAGGGCAAACATCAGAGTAAAAGGCCACTCTGGCCTCAAATTAAAAGAGAGCTTCCTCTCACTCAACATCAAAGGTCTTCAGAGACCCTTTAATGCACATACTGGCACCTAAAGTAGCCAGCCACTTCCTATGAGTCTGCAAACCATGAGCTGCAGGGGAAGAGAGGGGAACAGATGCGTTTGTGTTTCAAGGGAGAAAATAATTTTCTCCTTACACTATGGAACAATGACAATATGAATCTCTAATCTGGAAAAGCAGTCTGAAACTTACAGTACTGAAACTCACTAAGATTTTCATTCTTGCTGTGTAAGATTTGTGTACAGGATCAACCCAAGAGGCATTGGGCAAGAGTTACATTTTCTGAAGAACCTAAAGGGTGAGCAGATGACACAGAAAGAGAAGAACACTTCTGCTTATAAATCTGGTGCAGTTTTCTTTATCATGGATTGTATTTCAGTTCATCAGAAGGACTGTGACTCTGTGATACCTAGTCTTTTTTCACTTTAAGGTAAACAAATATAAGCACAAACTGCCTGTCACCTCAGTCTGCTCATCTACCTTTATAAGTAACTGGCACACGGGAAACAGAAGGGCTCATTTTTTACTTTACAGATGCTTGTAGCTTGGGGAATTTACTATTTCCATCCTAAGTCCCAAATGCAATGAAGTGATTGAAGCAATTTTGACAGAACATAAAAAAAAGCACCCTCCTCAGGTTCAAACTCCACAGCCAGATACGACAGCATGAGTATCAGTGAAGCACCTTCTGCACCTCACTCTTGAGATGGTTACTGGAGAAAGCCATCCTAGCTCCCAAAGGCTTTTTAAAGAAGAATAAAGTAAAGCAGAATAGACACTTACTTAATCCCTGGGACATCCAGGACGTTGCTCATGCCTGCCCAGTTGATTTCCAAGTGCTACATGGTCAAGGAGAAAAACAATACAGGACTGTTAAAATTTATTTCGGAACAAAGGTAGAATTTCAAGGAGAAGTAAGTGCTTCTGAAACAAAGCCAGCTGTTTAAAGAAAGTAAAACCTGCATGAGTAAGTGACTGCATCTATACATTAAAAACAACTGCTGCTATCAATTTCCTTATCTATTTTTACCTGCCATACCTGGAATGAAGGTATCACTGGGACTTACTCTGCAAGCACATTCAGTCCTTAGCAATGGCCACTGGCAGATGCCCTGAGTTCATGCGTAGTAAATCCAGCAGCTCTACTTAGACTTTGAAGTTGTTTCCTCATCTTTTCGCTTAAGGGTTGGCCTATACCCTAAGGCAGGGGGATTTACAAACACCACCCAACTTCATGAGTCTGTATTTCTATTCACACAATAAACAATTTTTTTTTCATGTGCTAAAATAACTCTACTACATCTAAACACAAAAAAACACCTCATCCAAGATCAAAAAAGTATGGCTTCCATGAACTCAGGCAGAGGATAACCCACAAGCAAGCAAAGCTATGTGCTATAAGATAATAAGATAACAAGACTAGAAGGTTTCTCATATTTTGTTAAAATACAGTTCAACTACAAGGTGCAAGACCTTAAACAGATAATCTTTCAAAGCACGACCATGACTGAATGGTCTCTAAGACGACTGCACTTAAAATCTATGAATGGCAAGATTTCAAAAATCCACCTGCTGGGAACCTTGCAAAGTCCTAGGAAATGGCTCCTGTGCTGTCACCTTTGGAAAGTCCTCCCATTCTGAGCGTGAAGCAAGTAACTTTTCAGGCACTACCACAAAAGAATAGGGCAAACTAATTCCTGGCTTGGAGCATTAAACAATTCTGGAATTTGCTATTCAAACATCTGCACTGTAAGGCATTCACAGTCATGGAGTTTGGGTTACCAGCAACAGACACCTTCGTGTCACTCAACTGAAGATCTACCCATGCATTGAGATGGACTCAGGAGCAAGAAGGCTGCAGAGTGCAGTTCACTACTGACTCACCGGTTTCTGCATAAAAAACAAGGTCACCGCTCCAATAAAAGGTGCATCAGTTAGAAGAGGTTCCAATATCACCCGCAACGTCCCATACAACTGCAAACAGAGCAGACCAAGGTAAGCTGAGTCCGAAGGTACTCTCAGGATGCAGTTGCAAAACTGTGAGCTTTTCAGTGATGGAGATAATTTTTAAAATCCTACTTGAAGTCTTTTTATTTAGAAATCAATAACAACAATAATCTGCCCCCTTCTCAGCCCAAACCTTTGCTAAAGATACCAAGCAACCCTTTCTAAGTTTGTGGACTCTCTCTGCAAGCCTGACTGCTGTACAATGGAGCGATCTGCCCATTAGCTTCCAGCATTGTAAGAACAGATTGTTGGTCTAATGTATATCAGTTTGCGAAGACTCTGGCAGAACTGGCTCTTTTGAAGTTCTCTACCAAGATGCAGCTGAATCCCCATGGCAGAAGCTGGCCCACAAGAGCTTAATGCTCTAGCACTGACCCCATCTGAGTCACACTCAGAAGCTTAAAAGTGTTATTTAGGTGCTTTGCACAGAAGGCATCATTTCCCCATCCAAAACACAAGGAGATAAAGCCAATCGTTGGCAGTTTCCCTGTTAAGTGTCATGATCTCCCCCCCAGGACATGCTACCTCCTGCCACACACAGCCCGGAACAGACAACGTTAGCAATGCACGCACCTGTACACCTTTCACTCCAAGATTAAATTTCGATATGTCCATGTGAATCTCACAGTCTCCTACGTAACTGAAAGAAAATTCCCATGTTATTCCACCTTCTGCAATAGTTCAGTGAGAAATTTTGGGCTGTACAGAGTATAAATGAAATTAGTTTCATGATTGACAACCTGACCCACAGGCAGAAATGGATTTTCAAGCAACTGAGAAGGGAAAGTTGAGCACATTGAACAAGGGTCAGATCTTCACAAGAGAAGCCCTGCAGTCAGCTGGAATATTGATTTACCTGCAAAATGTCAAAGCAACATCTGTATTTCAGGATTATTTTTCCATTCTTAAGACAGGCAGGTGGCTGAGGCAAGCTTGCTTCAAGGAAGGGATCAATGGGCTCATCCAAAATTTCAAGTCACAGTAATCGCCCTCTTGCTTCCTCCTCTGCCAAAGGCTCGGTCCCAGCCCACAACCTGGTGACCCAGCTCCCAGGCTGATGCAGACCCATCCTGCCATTACTTAAGGGGTCCTCACGTTGCTCACAACCAAAAACCCCATAGATCACCCTTACCCACAACCCAAAAGCCCACTTGAAGAACAAATTCATTACTAAAAATAACCTGGGTTTTTTTGTGGCTGAATTAAAAGACAACAACTTAAAGCACGTTTTGGTCTGTTGCCATGGAGAACATCAGGTTTTAAACCCAACAAATTCCGAGTGCAGTAGTTTCACAATTTAGACTTTTATTAAAAGCACAAACATTACCTTATGCAGAAATGGACAGCCACTCCCCAAGGAGCAGATTTTAGCAGATTTGTTGATGCCTCTGGCAGAAAACAATTGAGGGGAACTACTAAGTTTCAGTGCTCTGACAAATAGCTCTTGCTAGATGCAGACACACCAACACCCTGCAGGTAAAGCAGGGTGTAAAGCTACCACAGCACAGTGAATGTGCTGTGCTTGCCGCCTGCATGCATAATTTGACCCCGTAATCAAAGAAAAAAGACAAGATTTTTGTTCTGACCACATGTATATGGGCAAATAGTGCTGCAATTGCCACTAATTCACACTGTAATCTGCACAGACTTCCTCCTCGCTCCAAAAAAAAGTGCCAAGAATGTTTAACAGTGTGAATGTCTCCATTTTTGCAAGCAAAGCTCTTGAATACTTGTTTACAGACAGCCACTTAACAGAATTTTAAAAGCTCATAACACAAATCACAGCCTTTAATGTTAGAGCATTCTGATTTCTTAAATAACCAACCTCACAGGCCATGCCAAAATTAACACAATCTTCCTTATTTGCCAGTCACGTAACTAAACAAACTTATTTTTACGTTTATTGACTTCTACAATTTTCACGTTATCTTACAGCTCATTACATTGAGTGCTAGTAGAGCTTTGTCACAATAATACTCTAAAAAAGAAGCCAAAATGAACTCCTCAATTTGCAGTAATCAATCCAGGAGGATTTAATCCAACTGTTGCCAATGTCCAACACAACAAATAATAGTTTTGGTGTTTCGATCTACAACCTTTATATCTTTCCACCACAGTCAAAAATTCTTCCCACCCAGTTCTACCTGTCTCTTTTCTCCAGATACATACAGTTGTGTTTTAGGGTCTAGATGCCAGAGAAGTCTTTACCCCTTTTATCAGAGCCTGAGCCTTTAATTATCCATAAGTCTGCTTCTCATAGGCATCACCCCCACACCAGGGTGCTTAGTTAGAAGGACGTGCTCTTCGTTCATTAGTTTTACTCATTTCCAATCCAAGCTGCTCATGCTTTCATCTCAGCAGAACCTTGCTGTGCTCTCTGCTGTCCTCCCCTAGACGGAGCACACCTGAGCCAAGCTCAGGACTTGACACCCAGAAGTGTGTAGGGATGTCTATGTATCCCTTTAGAAAAGGCACGTGCAATTCTTGCCCTTTAAAGTAATTCCTCACAGGCCCCACCTTCTCATCGCTGCACGCTTCTTTTGACTGCTTTCTCCAGTTCTGCATCAGATGACAGAGACTGTCTTTGCAGATTTGAAAACTTGCCAGTTAGGAAGTCCAGAGACTCTTTTAAGAGTAAATTGCAACGCATACACATGTTTTAATACATATAAATTATTACACTATTCTTCTGTGGTATCTCATGCATTGTAAATGCCATAGAATAGCATGGAAATGAAAATTCAAAACACTTCCAATGAAAAATTATTATGAATATTAAATTAGACTAATTAAATAGGAAGCAACTGGCTTGCAAGATTTCCTGGCAGGTAACAGTACCTTCAAATACTTTGAAACTCTGATGATTATGGCCAATGATTACACAGCTACATAGCAGCTCAGGCAACTGCAGAATTACTGGGAAGAAAAGCACCTGTAGGAGGTCAAGTGGCTGCTCTTGAGAAGTTCTCATTTTGAAAAATGCAGTTTTGGAAAATATTTTCGAATGCTTTAACATTAATTCATTCGGAGAATGCAACTCTCAGCTCCCTATGCTCAGGGGACAGATTCATGATTCAGATCTGGGGCAAATTGTTTAGAAATCCCAGGATATTGCCAGTTAATTTCCAGCTGGGATCCCATATTCCAGATTTGGGGATTTCAAAGCCCAGTCTGGCAGGGATTTCATCTTTTGTTTAGACACTGCAAGAACTCTGATACAGTCTTATGTGTCACGTGAAAGCTGTAGATCAGGTATATTTCCACTGTAAAGTAGATTCATGAATAGGATTACAGGCACCAGGACCTTCAAACAGATAAATGACAAACTTTGTACAGAAGACCCGAGGGCAAGCAGCAATTAACTCAACATTTCTGTTCAGTCCTTAAAGTTGTGACAAAATTCACACAACTTAATTTACGCCAACTGGGTGCATCATCTTGGGGACCAAGTAAAAGATTCTGAAAGAAGACTTACAGCCTCCTTCCTTGCTTTTGCCAAAAGGTCTCTGTGCTTCATAAGTAATCGCCTCTGAGCCTTAGTTTTCCTGTCAAAATCTCAAGTACAGCCCTTTCACTTGGGACAGTCAAGACTAATGACACAGTGCTCCACATAATTGTTCCCAATGCTCTGATGCTATGGACATGTAAGCTCTTGGTAACAGATTCAATTAAAGCAGCTTCACCACGCAATACCAGATCTACTGTGCCACTGGCTCTGCTGACAGCTATTGCCCATACAAGTAAGGGACCTCTAAGGCTATTTTTCACAGTTCCCAAGCAAAGGATGCAATTTGTGATATCACACTACACATTTAACACAGAGGAAAGGAAGCTCTTCTTCACATGGCACAGACCTGAACCACAGCATTCAGTACCGTGCCACGTTATGGAGATGAGGAGCACAGATGAAAGAAAACATTTGATGGATCACATGTCTACGAGTGGCTATTAAAACTACACAAATGATCCACACAGACCTCAAAGGAAAGCTGAGAGAAAGGTTTTTTTCTGCTCCTGCCCTTTTCCTATGTTTTTCCCTGGCCTAGTCAAATCCTCTGGGCTTCAGAGACTAGGTGCCTCCGGTGGGGAATAAAACTCTCCTCCTGTACTGCTGTGAGACTGAAAGCAAGAAGCATTTCCAGAGCATGCTGAGATGTCTGGATGCAAGACAGTGCCTAACACACAGGGTAAGTCAGCACTGGCGCGGGGCAGGGCTGCTTCCCATCAGGCCCTGTGGGAACCGGCTGCTCAGCTGCCTGCAGTGGTGAGCCAGCCAACAGGCCACGCTCACGTGCATTCACCAGTGAGGGAACTCCCACAAAATTACAGCCAGCAAGCACTGAGGCAAAGGAGTCATGTTTATAACATGCAGACATGTTAATCCTTTAATGTCTACTGCAACACAGCCACGCTTCTCTGAAACCTAACCCAAGAGAGGGAAGTCAGTCGCTGCAGTCTCGGCATCATGAAGAGGACCCCGCTAGCAGCCACAGCACATCACGCTTCTCCAGAGCTGATGAACACATCAGTAACTGGCAATCCAGAAAAAAAGACAGATACATAACACTTGTGCTCACAGATTTGCTTCTCTCCATTCCTGGAATCAATATACTACTGTACAGTGCACAACACCCAGCTTAGTTGCAGAAGCTGATGTTAATGTATTAATTTAAGAGAAGCTATGTCCTTAACACAGCCCAGGAGAAGAGATCCCCATAAGGGAGATGAGGTAATCTGAACACTCCTGCAAGAACACAGAAAATACTTGGGTTATCAGATGACAGTTCAGGTTAAGTTATCAGAACAAGGAACAGAAGTGTCTGGCCAGTTTGGAGATGCTGATGGGTCTGCCAGAGGGACAGGAATGAGGAGGTGGGGGAATCCCTCTGCAGAGGATTGTTAAAAGACACTGAAAAAGAGTATGTGGGAGAAGCAGCCTGGAGAAGTAGTTTAACAGCAGAAACCTCCTGCAGAGCCTTAAAGGCATCAAATCCCTCCATCTCAATGTGGAAAGCACAAATGATTTGCCAAAGGCCCCTAAAACTGGTCTGGGTATTACAAAGAGCACTGCACTGACAGCTTCGAAGCACAACATCTTTTGCCTGAAAATCAAGCATGCCATTTTGCAGGGAGCAGTGGTGCTCTGCCAGGGCTGGGGATGCTGCCATGCCATTGCCACATTAAGCAGCACAGCTCTGAGCAGCTCTGTGCTGTTGCCAAAACACTCCATAATTTCAACTGCTTTTTCCTGGCATTTTCATGAAGAAAGGCCATTTAAATTAGGCAGCTCAATTGCCCACTGAATTTACTGAGCTACAGCAGCATGCAAGTGGTAATTCCCCCAGTAATTCCATTCTCCAGGCTAAAACTTTTGCCAGAAGAAAGTTTAGCTCTGCAGTGGCAACACAAAACACACAAGTTCATTCAAAACAGCCTGGGAGATATCAAACGTTTTATCTAATTTTGTTGTTGTTGTTGTTAACAGAGCCAGAGGCAGTTTTTTGCTCAGAGAACAGCTGTAATAAAATTAAAAAAAAGCAATGTGTTGGGTGGCCCATGGAACAAACAGTGAGTAAAACAAAAGGATTAATCTAGGGGAAGGAATTAAAGAATAAATAGCATAAACAGTTCTGGAAGAACTGGAGAGGCTGGACTGTCAAGGAACCATAGTGGGGCAAGAAAGACCAAACACCTCCATGCCTGAGAGCTGTCAGAACAGAAAATACAGTTCCAAAACTTAGGTTCTTACTGTCATGAATGGCAAAGCCAAGGGACAAATCCTTACACCCATGGCAGCAGTGATGAGCAGCACTGATGAGCCAGAGCAGGTGACACCTAGACCTGTGCAGATAACACAGTTTTCTGACCTAAAGATTGACGCACAACATCTCACTTCTGTAAGTTTTGAGGACATCCAGCTGAGAGACAGAATATCACCTATCATTCTAGGTTGGTAAGATAAGGACCTCTCCACCTCATGCTGATCTTAGAAGACCACATGCCCAGTCTGGCTCAACAACTCACACACAGCTGTCAAAAAAGCAGCAAGTTAAGAACCTTTTACACAATCAATGATGTAATGTTACCATATCTGCAGGTCTAGGATAATTTGTCTTCTGTTGATCTCTTTAGTGTAGGCTTTTATTCCGTTGATTCTAGGGCACTGAAATAAAAACAAGTAAGATACGACATAATTAATAGCGTCCAAGCTAAGCCCAAGTGAAAAGTCCTACTCACTTCAATCAATCTGAGTACAGAAGCATTCATTAACGACTTTGCACAACTGCATGTAAAGTATGAGTATGTCAGTTTTTCCCCCAAAGAGGTAATGTGCACAGCCTCGGCAGTCCTCAGATACAAGGTTGGTTGCAAGTAGTCCATGCTGCAAGCCTTAGGAGGCACCGAAAACTCCTGCAGGAAGGGCATAACAAAAAGAAGCATGGACACACGCCCCTTTTTTCTATCTCCAGTTCCATGATACTGACAGTCGGTGGGAAGGCATGTGTGCGCCTCCTATATGATCTTTCCTTCACAGTTGAGACACTCAAGACAACACAAGGAGGGAACAAACGAGGCAGCAGTGTTGTATCAATACCACTTTGTTAAGCACACCGATCTATTAAAGAGCTGAACACCAGACTCTCCTTGCACCTGAACTTCTCAGAAAGGACTGAACTGCAAGCGTTGCAAAGGATTCACACTACCTTCTCGCCAAAGTGGATCTTGGTAAAGGTGCATGTTTTCAGATGTACATTCCTTGCTCTGATTTTTGGTTCAAGAACTTCTTTAAATGTTTTTTCCATGATTGTCCCAAAGTATGGCCAAGCCTGGACAAGGACCTAAATAGCAAAAGTGGAAATACACTGAAGATTCTTTGCATAAGACACCTGCTGTTCAGAAAGACACACAGATTACAGAACACCTGGCTATTAATGTCTATCCTTTTAAAATACCAAGCCACATTTGTGCTCCTAAGTCATCCTTATGGAAGGATCCATTTCAGCACCTCAGAAATGTGTTTTAGGAACTGAAGGGTGAGTTTTCAGCACCACAGAGTCCATTGACTGCTTCTAACCATAGGGGATGAGCCAGCAAAGCCCAGGGTGAAAGTCTCTAAAACACAATCGTCCCTAATTACTCTAAAGTGTCACACATTCCCTGGATTTAGGTTTATTTAGAGAGGAGTGAGACAAAAGAAAATTTGCTAAAAAGAAAACCAGGATAGTTACTGGATGCCGATTTGTAAATTCAGCTATTTTGCTTTGAATTCCAGAGTCCAGTTTCAGTGAGAGCTTCACTACACCGGCTGATGGGAACATCTGCCTCAGAGCTCTCTGGGAACCTCCGTGGTAAGAGGAGACACCACTACTTTTGCTAAAATAATAAATAATACTACATCCACGTATATGCAGATACACATATATACACACACACACACTTACTTTTGTTTTAATCTCAGGATTAAATGTTGTGGGCAATTTCATCAAACCTCTATCCACCAGGCACACATTTGGTTCTCACCAAAACCTGAGTGCCAACTCCATACTTAAGCAGCTCCAAGACTTAAGTACAGACACCGGTATGATTGAGCTGTATCCTAGTGACCGGATAACCTTCTCACACTTGGCGTGTAGAGTTTGTGCTGTGATGCAGCTCAGAGCCCCACAAACCAGAGTTCAGAACTCCTCACCTTGTTCAGCCACTCCACTCGTTCAACATCAGGGAAGTGAACCTGGATGCAAAGAAAAATAAAGTAAGTGCCATGTACCATCTGTTTCAACACACAGCAACACATTCAAAAGATACTAGAGTGTGGAACAAGTTTGAGAATGAGCTGAGATCCCTCTGCCCTCATACTACATCCTTTATAATTAAGTACCTCCTTGAAAAATTGTAACAGGCAAATAAAATAGTAAAAAATAGTAAAAGGCAAAAGAATACACGTGCACTGACGTACCAATATGCCTCTGGGCACATTTATATGATTAAAGCAAGTGTCATATCCTGTTTATGATGCAAAGCAGCATCATATTTCTCATCCTTCTCTTGGTCACGCCTTGGGAAGCCACGTGAACCTGCTTCCCTTCATGATCATGAGCTGTGCAGGACCTGTTTCCTGTACTGGCTCACCTCAACTAGGACACCAAAAGACAAGTGTCCCGGAAGATAAGAACTCACTTGGGAAACTCAATTTATTGGCTGTGGCAGCATTTTTCCACTAATATTAACATAGTGCCAACGGCCTCAGGGGAAAGAAGCACTGTAAGAGTTCAAGGCTGTTAGCACACGCTATCATGTGTAACAGTCCAGTGTTTTCACCTCTCGGATCTTTTTAAGATGCTGAGGACAAATCAAAATTAAGTAGTCACTCACGCATGATGTTTTCAAGTTGGACACATCAAATGCCAACAAGAAATCGATGTGTCCATTACAACAAAATCCCTCCAGTTCCCCAAAGTGATCCCTTGCTTAATCACCATCAAGACACCTGGATACGAGGCCACTCTCAAGTAACCAGCTGATCTCTCAGACCCCACCAAGAAGCTGCTGAGCAAAAAGCCGCAATCACCTTACTACAATCACCCAGGAAAGTCTTACGGACGTGGTGTTTTTTGCTGCTGCTACAAGCTGGAGGCAGGTTACTGCAGAATGAAAGGACAGTGCAGCAGCTTCTCAGAATGCACATGTGGGCCCTGCTCAGCTCTACAAGAGAACCCAAATACAACGGGACTCCTTTGACTGTCATCTAGCCTGACAACAGTAATTGGGTAGGACGATACAATACCTGCTGTGAACTACACTCCTCAGTCAAAGGCTTGCAGTTTAACTCAGCAGCTCAGAGAGGTGCTCAGAGATGTTTGGATGGAATGAATGAGTTTGCCTTTTATTCCAGCTTCATGTATGATTTCAGAGTCTGTTTCCCTTGCCCAAATAATGCTTCAAATTATCTCCTATTCTTGCATTTCAAAAAAAAAAAAAGAAACCAACCCAAAGTGATATTACTGTATTCTTTATAAGCAATTTCTTTTGACGCTCTAAATAGCAATTTTTCCACTAAATAAGACAACAGAAGTTCACTGAAATGTCAGCCTATCCAGTGCTATTTACATGATAAAGTGAGAATGCAGCATCAGCAGGGACAATCGATAGTGAAAAATTACCGCTGATATTTTACAGGAAGGCGGATTATGTGAATCAGGGGACCTCCACTTCACCTGCCAGACTTCCATCTTCCACCAAAGGGCACAGAGATCCTGGGTAGCCCAAAAGCAGCTGGTCCCTACCTCTAACGCAACTGCCAACGCCAGCATTTGTCCCACAGCACAGGCAGGTACAGCGGGGATGGAAGGAGCATGGTGAGCTGTCCCTCAAAAGACATCACAGCAAGGAGAGGGATGTGACCCAAAAGGAAGGATGGACAACAGGGCAACAATTAGGCTACCACTTTCCAATAAGAAAGCCACAGCCTACATGTGAGATTCACCAGGGTTAAGGGGAGAAAGCACAATATAAGCCACTACAGTTGGCTGGCATTATTCACTAGAGCCAAAGCTGCTAGAGATGCAATTGCAAGAGGTGACCAAGAAGCAAGCTGGTGGCCAAAGAGAGTTGGAACAGCATCCAGGAGCATGAGGGAACAGGCAAAAACCGTGAGGAGGGGGGGAGCAGCTAGACCCACCTTAAGAAAAAGAAAAACCGAATTCACTATTTGAGCTATAGACACCCAAGCCAGACAGCCCAGGGCAAACTCCCAAAGCAACCGTAATGAATCATGTATCGCTGTGTCACACCTCGGATTGCTGCGGTAGGATCAGCAGTCACCTGTGGTATCTTCCCATCCTGCATTCCCATGTCTGCAACACAGCTTCTACTCATGCACTCTGTGCCTCAGTTTCCTTTGACAGACGGAAGAAGTAGCACTGCTGTAGCTCAAAGGTACCAAAGACCATCAGGAGGTCCTTTGCTAACACAACCGGGCTCTTGGAGGCAAACACCACAGAAACTGGATGACTGCATGTCTCTGGCAGAAAACAGCTTTCTGCCCATTACGAAAGGTCACCAAACTTCAGTGGGTGGCCAATGCCACAGGTCAACCGTACTCAACAGTGTGAATTCAATGAGCAGCTCCGCAAAAGAAGCAGAGCTTGGCATCCAAGCGTTGCATCTAGATTATCCTCTGTCTAGCAAGACACCAGCTTTGAGCAAAGTCTTTCCTACCCACAGGGTATTCCCATAATGTGCACGTCCCACCAGCAGAAGATGAGTTCTGCTCTAGTTCAGCCCAGTGACACCACCAAGCTCCATTTTTGACCCAACAGCTTATTCTAACAACTTAATGTGTCATAGTACTTTCTGGAAAAAAAAACAAAACACCACAACCCAAGCATCTGTAGTTCTATACTTTTTAATCATGTGCTCTGCATTGCAGATTCCCTTCTGACCCCTGTTACTGGAAAAAGCCCTGGCAGCAAGGTCCTGTCCTCCAGCTTGTCATCAGTACAGCACAGGTAAGAGAAGCCCCAAACACTTCCTGCTAAGCCCAGAACCAAGCACCAAGAGCTTCTAGAGTTAACACTAAACCAGAATAAGGCTTAGTCCTGCAGCCTTGGGCAAGTCACACTATCAAAATCAGTTTTTCCCATTTACAAATGCAAGCACGCTTCCTGCCAATATTTCAGGAATGCTGCAAAAATTACTTAGCATTTGAAAAGAGCTTTGAAGATCAAAACTACTAGGTAAGGGCCAATTACTAGCAAGTAAAGAAAATGTACGTTTCTGCATGGCTCTACCTTGCCCTGGAGCAGACCACACCAACATCACAGCAATAGCAAAAACCAGCACAACAGTGCCATTCTGTTCAAATGCAACACAGGAATCTATCCACCAGGGCTGGGTTTGGCTTCTTTTCGTTTGTTTGTTTGGGGTTTCGTTTGCTTTTTTTGCTGTTTAGTTTTGTGGATTTTTTTAAGGGACAGGTTTTTTAGCTCCCCGTGCAAAGGCAAAAAAAAACCTCTAAACACACCTTTTGCTTGAATAAGGAATTAACAGGCAAAGTTTTAAAAGGATTCTCTGTACCCAGTAATAGAGTTTTCTCCCAGTAAAAGGAATTTAACATCAGGAAGAAATTGCGCATACTTGGATGCTCTTATCTGCAACCTGCTAACAGCTGCGAAAGCAACATGGACAAGTCACCAAGTCACCATCGCCCCAGAAGCAAGAACAAAAGTGGAAACCCGGCTACCTCTGCTCCTGGCACTGACTAGTTTTACAAAGTCATGCTAAAGGCTGCACTGGCTGAACTCAGGAAGTTTCACCTCGTCAAGACACAGAACTGTCTCTGCTCGACGAGCAGATTTCCAGCCTGGTTTCCTAAGGAGGCACAGCCTGCCCATGTAAGCTGTCTAGCACAGGAACGCCTCTATTCCAAACTCACCAGCTCGTTTCAGCTGGGAAACTGGTGCTGCAAAATAACCCTGCAAATTCCCTGAAGCAGATGGTTAAGCAGATGAGGGAAACCCTCCCAGCAACTCCCCTGAACAACTGCAATATAAATGTATCTCCCGATAACCAATACCAGGACTGAGCGGAGCCTGAGCAACATTGGAAGGAGCCACCACTGTTAGGGAGGACAGTTTTTAATCAACTAGTGCAATCAGTGAGTGGTTTAATTCTTCACTGGATGGGTCCTCCTCATTTTAGTACCAAGGACATGAAGAGACAACTATTTACCAATCCCCTAAGACACTGCCACACCTCCAAAACCTTTCCTAGGATTACAACACTGCAAACCAACCCATGCTCC